TGGTACCTATTTATCTACTTGCAATTTCTTGCTTTTGAACTGCTAGGTTGGCAGGAGCTGGAACTAGAGATGGGAGCTCACTCCGTCATGCGGCACCCGGGTCTTGAACTGCTGAACTACCGATCTTCCACAGCCTGCAGTTCAGCGTCTTAACCACTTGAGCCACCGCAGCTCCCCAATGGAGGTAGCTGATCTCTTAAACTCCTAAATTGCTCGACTAGCCAATATTACCAAATCTACCCCCTCCCATGAAGGAGACTGAGTTAAAGGTTCCAAAGGTCCCGGAGGTCCCTGTTCCTGCAGGGAACAACAAGCTCCTCTTAGCTTTGAACCTCTGCAGGGACTGGTTAATGTAAATCTTGAGGGGTCGGGAGAAGAGATTGAAGCTAATCTCTTGTCTTTATTTGGTTCCCTGCCACTGGTAGAACAGGAGGAATTGTTAAATCGCCTTCAAACTCTAGTAACCTCATTGAGGAAAATTAGTCAGACCTCCACCTCCAAGGCTTTGATTGAGGACTGTAGTCCTGTCCCTGTTGACTCACCAATGTTGGTTCTTGATCCACCTTTGACGGCCTTTGATCTTGGGGACAGGTTTTCACCCCAAGCATAATCAACCTCCCCTAGAACCGACCGTTTTAATAAACAGAGGACCTGTTAATCTTAATTTATCCCCCCCTTCAAATCCTTCTAATGTGAAAGTCAAATCAAATTGACTATCTCCAACTCAGTTTATCAAAGTCATATCCTGGAATATTTCGGCCTGGAGTTGTAGATGTCAGGTTCCACAGCCAACAACTGAGTACACGCTTGTCAGAAAGGTTATACTTTATTGCAGAGCTAAAAGTGTCCTGATTGGTTATGCATCAGTATTTCACTGCACTGCTATTTCAATTTTCAGTTTTTCCTTTTATTATCTCAGTGTTTTTCCCTTCACAAATGTTGATGAGAGATTATTTGGAGTTATGGAAAGAACTTGAAAATCTCCTGAAACAGATTTCTGAACACTACCCTCAGGCCTCAGTGTTACTTTTGCAGGTGATTTTAACGCCCACATTGGCCAAAAACGATGCAACATTATTAGCCAGGGGATTTGTGAAATTGCAGGAGTAGTTATCATATCCTTACACATTTAGAAGGAACTCCAAGGATTCCAAAGTAAATACTGCTGGGGGAAAACTGTTTGATTGTGCAGTTAACCATGGTTTAGTAGTTTTAAATGGCCTTGAGAATCTAGATCCTCATGGTGATTTTACTTGTGTGACGCACAAATGTCCTAGTGTTATTGATTATGTCCTGGTATCAGCTGGCCTTCTACCACTGGTGCACGAGTTTAAGGTGGATGAGTACCAAGGAGGGGACCATTTCCCACTAAAATTGAGTATAGCTAAGCCAGATACAACACCAGCCACAACTCTGCCTAAGCATCCACAAAGTTTGAATGTATTAAGACCAAAGAAATTGACTCCATATTCTGCCTCTCTTACTATGAGTATAATGAACTCTGAGACATGCAATCTCCTTACCCAGGAATTCCTTATGCAGAAGGATACTCAGGGCATACTTAATAGATTAATTAATATCTTAGACCTTTTTAAACCTGTTTACACCAAGATTACTTGGTAGAACAAGATTACTTGGTACACCAAGATTACTTGGTAAAAATAAGTGGTTTGATAGAGAATGTCGTGACCATATTAGACGTATAAGGTCCAAATTGCAGCAGTTTAGAATCACCAAGCAACAGTACCACCTATCAGAATTTATCTTTTTAAAAAGGTATTTCAGAAAAATGACTAGGTATAAAAAACAGGCAGCCTAACAAAAAGAATGGGAGACACTTATAGCAGCCATTCATAGTAAAGACTCACAAGCCTTTTGGAAAATAGTTAATAGGGGCTTATCTACAGCCTTCAAATTGTCTGACTGTATAACCTCTGAAATTTGGGAGAAATATTTTTCCTCCAGTTTTAAAGATACTTTTAATTTTAACTTTCAGATTGATCACATTGAGCCCCTCCTTTATCTGATCTCTAGCCTCCAGTCTCCCCTGAGACCGTGATTTGTCTGATTGAACAAATGAGCTCAGGTAAAGCACCTGAGCCAGACTTAATTCCAATTGACTTATTAAAATTAAATCCTGGTTGGTGGAGCACCCTTTTGGCTCCACTTTTTACCCAAGGGAATAAAACAGGAATTATACCAGCTTCGTGGAAACATGCAATAATAGTGCCAATATATAAAAAAGGCATTAGAGGAGACCCAGCAAATTATCAACCTATCAGCTTGCTCTTATCCTTAGGTAAAATATATGCAGCTTTCCTCCATTCTAAACTACAGTCTTGGCTGGAAGTTGATGAGGTCCTTTATCCTGAGCAAGCTGGTTTTAGAAAAGGTGCCTCTACTTTGGATCATTGTCTTGTTCTTTACCATTTAGCTGAGAAATATTCATCTAAAGTTGGTAATTGTCTCTATGTTGCATTTATGGACTTAAAAGCTGCCTTTGATTCCATCCCTAGATCTCGCTTGTGGACCAAGTTAAACAAGTCCACAATAAATAAAAGGCTTCTATGGCTCATTTTTAAATTATACGAAGAGCCCTCTGCACAGATACGTTATGGCTCAGAAGGCCAGCTAACAAATTCTATCAACCTTGTTAAAGGGGTAAAACAAGGCTGCTTATTGGCCCCTACTCTTTTTAACTTTTATTTCAATGATGCCTTACATAAAAAACACACCCATCACGCACCTATTTTGGCAGGCCAAGAAGTTCCTGTATTATTATATACAGATGATGCAGCCTTGTTATCCAGATCTGAAGTTGGCCTTCGGAAAACACTTAATGCTTTCTCTGAGTATTGCAGTCAAGAGGGGCTCACGGTAAATTACAAAAAATCAAAAATCATAGTTTTTACTAAGAAGTTAAACCATACATTTGAAGTATGGAAAACTAAAGGAGGAGGAGGAGGAGATTGGATTTATACCCCGCCCTTCACTACCCAAAGGTGTCTCAGAGCGGCTTACAAACTCCTTTCCCTTCCCCTCCCCACAACAGACACCCTGTGAGGTAGGTGGGGCTGAGAGAGCTCTTGACAGAAACTACTCTTTTTCAAGGACAGCTCTTATCAGGACTACGGCTTGCCCAAGGTCATCCAGCCAGGTGCAAGTGGAGGAGTGGGGAATCAAACCTTGGTGCCCGAGTTCTAGTATTACGGAAGAGGAAGAATGAGCTGTAGCTGCCTACACTTTCTCCACTCCATGGACAATTTTATAAAGCCATTTGGATTTGTGCAGTTTCTGAATCCTTAGACAAAGTATTAACCCAATTCCTGCATCGAATTTTGGGAGTCCCCAAGTGCATGGCAGGAGCTGTTCTTAGGTGGGAGCTAGCACAATGATTCCTAGAACTTAGAGCTTGGTTGGCTGCTTTCAGATTAAGACTGAAGGTTTGCTTTTCCAGTCCATCGTCAGGGAGTTTGATTTACAGACTAAAGGGGGATAATTATAGAAATACCTGGTTAAATCAAATAGACAAGAAACTGAACCTCCTTGGCCTCCCGATATCAACACTCAAGAATATATCTCAGCAAGAAGTATGGCGACAGATCAGATCTAAAGCAAGTAATTGGGATAGGGCTAGTACCACTGCATGTGCCAGGCATGTATGTTCTCCTCTAGCTCTGGGAATTCCTCCTTCGTTGACCCTTCCATCATATGTAAACCATCTTACTACCCCCTCTCATAGATTTGCTTTTACTCTTGCAACATTAAATGCTGTACCATCAGGCAGAATTAAAAGGACATTTCTCACGAACTCCGTATTCAGACAGGCTTTGTACTTGCGCTTCTGGCGAGATTGAGACGCTGACACATTTGTTCTCATTGGTTAGCTCTTAGGTCATATTGGGTATATCCAATTTTATCTAAATACCATCTTCCACTGGAGCCATGAGTGGTCTCTTATCTGCTGACAGATACTGACCCGACAATCACCACTTCAGTAGCAAAATACTTAGCTATTATAATAGCACTGAAGCATTAATAATTGCTACTAAGGGGAGGTGTGCACTTTTTAGTTCTAATCTTGGTGATAATTTAAATATTGATAGTATATTGTCAGCTCCATTAATGGAATCTGAACACATTTTTCGGGGCTGCATGACAAATAATCGTAATTTGATTTCTAAAATTTATCAGAGTGTACTTACAGTGGAAAACAAGAATCCTTTGTTATATAATTTGTGGCGAATTGATTGTAACTTGACATTGTCAGAAAGCAGCTGGTCACAAATTTGGAGATCGAATACCTCACAGATCCTAAGTGCGAGAATCCCAATGTTCAAGATTCTGGCTCACGGGTATTTAACACCACTAAAGCTCTTGTATATCTTTGCATCATATTCACTGCTCTGTTGGAAGAAATGGAGGCAGGTAGGAACCTATGCACACTGTTGGTGGCAATGTGACAAAATTAAGTGGTTCTGACAGACAGTGTTAGATCAAATATCTGTAATAACTGGTTACAAAGTGCCCTATTCCCCCACTGTAATATTTTTGAATTATTGGCCAGAAGTCTCAGTGCTGCAGATTAGGAAGAAATTTATCTCCATCCTTCTAGTGGCAGCAAAATCTCCTATAGTGTCAAATGTATATTCTGGTATACTGTTTATAGTTTTTTAATGGTTTGTTTTAATATTAGGATGTTACTGCTTTATGTTACAGGTGAAAATAGAAATAATTTTTAAAAATAAACAGGACCTAATTTGTGCAATCCTTTGGAGTCCAACAATGTTAGGGCTGATTAAGACTGCTAATGGCTAAGAAACTGTATCCACACGGAAATGGACAACTTAGACAGAATCATGAATACCTTGATCCACAAACACATCCCCATACTTTCCTTCAAAAGTGTAGTGGTGTTGGAGGCATTAGAAGATGGACTTCTCCTAATGGCTAATACTAAAAGAATTTGAAGACATATATGACAAGTTATAACTGCAGTTGCAACTACTGAGTGTGTAAAATACTTAACAAGATGAGTTATACTGCACAAATGAAAGGCTAGCTAGTTAATTTACTCTCATAAGGGACAGCAGATATGTTGCTGCAGATCTGGTGGAGTGGCTCGCAACATCCTTTGGAGGTCCTAGGCCTTGAACGTCATGTGCATTTCAGATACAAGACTTGAGACCTTTTTACCTGAAGGCTGTGAGCTGTGAGACACAGACAGAAAATTCTTTAGCTTAATCTGTACCATCCTATTTAAGTAGATGTATGGTGGAGCCCTGCACATTTCTAGTTTATCCCAGACTCTCTCTTTGGGGTGACATGGTATAGGGCAAAAGGATGGTAGTACCAACTCTTGGGTAACATAATAAGGGGGAAATACCTTTGGCACAAAGAAAGGATCCCTCCTGAGTACTACTGAGACCTTGTGAAATATACACAATGACTGCCTGGCAAATAAAACCCTGAATTCAGAAAACCTTCTTGCAAAAGTCATCACAAGAAAAAAAGACCCCTTCCAAGAAGAAAACTTTAGATTCTGATGATTTGAAAGGATCAAATGAAGGCTTGCTCAAGGCCCATAATGCTTTAGAAAGGTTCCCACTAGGCAATGTATGTCTAATTGGAGGTGCCAACCAGTGTTCCCTCTAAGCTGAGTTAGTGTGAGCTAGCTCACAGTTTTTTACCCTCTGGCTCACACGTTTTTGTCTCCGCTCAGGAAGGAGGGCTCCAGAGCAAACTAATTTATGTAGTAGCCAAATCACTTGCTCACAACTTTAATGCCGGTAGCTCACAAAGTAGAATTTTTGCTCACAAGACTCCACGGCTTAGAGGCCCAACTGTATGGTTTCTTTCAGGAAAAGCCCAATGTGCCTATGAGAAGAAAAAATATGCAGTCTTTTGCAGTCCCACACAGTGGTCAGTGCTGCAGCCTGTCTCTTAAGGTATCTGGTCTTAGAACCTGATTTCAACATTTGTGTAGAAAGGGAACAATGTCTTTGTAAGAAGGTTTCAGTGGATTCAGCTTTTGGGTACTGGACCACTCTTGAGTATCAGCCACTTACGATTATAGAGATGACTGGAAGCAGGTTTTCTGGACAGCACCCATGATGTCAACTACTTAACTTGGAAATCCTGGTCCTTCTAAATCCGTCCATTCAATCTCTAAGCTATCAGCTGGAGCCAAATAGGGTCTGGGTGGAGAACTGATTCTTATGCAATCTCCATGGTAGAGATACTGACATCTTCACTAGTTCTGAGACCCAAAAACCTTCTGTGCCAGAACGGAATTATGAAAATTACCTCCATTGCCTCCTTTAACACTTTGTTCAGGTCTCAGCTGATCAGTGTGGTCAGAGGGAAGGCATACAGCAGACCCCTGGGTCAATGGCAAGTGTGTGAGTCCTCGCACTCTGCCCTGGGATTGTAGAAACTGGTTAGAAACCTGGCGACTTGACTCTTGTTCGATGTTATAAAACGATCCAAGATAGGGATCCTGAAACAAAGTGTGATTTTGCTGGAATATCTTTTTAGTTAGAATCCATTCTCCTGGATCTAAATCCTTCCTGCTCAGCCAGTTGGCTTGAAGTTTGTAAGACTATATAGATGTTCCACTTTCAGATCTACCAATTTTTTCTTTGCCCAATCTAACAGGATTTTGGACTCCTGGAGCAGCACTATCAATCTGATGCCTCCTTGCCAATTGATGTGCGCCTTGGCCATAGTGGTGACAGTATGACTCACACATACTTCTTCCTCGATAGGTTCTGGAAGGCAATCAGCGCTAGTTGGATTGCCCTAAGTTCCAGCCAATTCATACTGTTCATTTTGTCCAACAAGCTCCATCTACCTTGGACAATCTGATCCTTGCAGTGTGTTCACCAGCCCTTTCTGCTGGTGTCCGTAATTACCCTCAGGTAAGGGGGCTAGAGGAAACTGACTCTCCTTGTCAGATCTGGTTGCAAAGACAACTAGCTTAGTGATTTCTTCAGTCATTTGTAAAGGACTGGCATGGAAGCGGGCCCAAGGAATCATATCTATGGACTACATCATCAGATCCAGTACTGTCAACCAATGCATGAGGTTCACCGATCTCTGCCCAATTTCTTTCACTCCTTCCAACAACTTTACCTGCTTCTTTACAAATAGAAACACCTTGGCCATCCTCCTCTGAATCCTGGTTCCTAAGTGGACTATGTCCCCGGAAAATGTGAAATGACTTTTTAAAAACACATTGATCTGGCAGCCATGTGCCTGAAGAGATTGCATAGTGGATTAGGTATCCTACTCTGCCTCCTTGGCTCTGTGGAGGATATCATCCAGGTAAGAATAAAGGTGGACTCGTTGATGTAAGTAGGCTATTGGAATTACCAGGACCTTGGTAAACACCCTCAAGAGATAATGCCAGCCCAAAGGGTAAGGCCTTGTATTGGAAATGCTGGCCCTGAAAATCAAAAAGGGAAGAACTGTCTAGAACACTGGTTCCCAAAGTGGGCAATACTGCCCCGAGGGGCGCTGGAACAATCCAAGTGGGCAGTAGAAGCCTTGGGTGCAAATTTGTGACTGCATCTTTTTGTCCACTTTTTGAAGGTAGATTACCCAGGGGGTGCTGAGTAATTTTTTTTCCCCTGAAAAGGGGGCGGTAGACCAAATAAGTTTGGGAACCTATGGTCTAGAAGATGGAATATGCAGATAAGGACTACGGTCTAAGGACATCATATGATCTCCTTCTGAACACTCTACAGAATCCAGTGAAGTGATGCAAACCAGAAGTTGCACTTCTTTACCTATAGCTTGAACTCACTTTGATTTAGGATTGCTCTCCTGTCCCCAGATCTTTTTGGGACTACAAACAGAATGAAATAAATCCTATGGAAATACTATTCTACGGGCACTGGTTCCACTACCCCTAGGTGCACTAAATGCTGAATAGGTCACAACAGAAGAAGGGTGTCTCTGTTCTGTCTTGGGAAGAGGGGAAGCACAGAAGCAATGTGAGGGGAATTCATTCATGTGTCCCTTTCAGATGATGAAGAGTACCTGCTGGTCAGTCATAGACTCCATCCAGATGTGGGGAAACTGCTGGAGTCAACCCCCAGCCATATAGTCAGGTCTTAAGTCTTTGTTTTATTGGTTCACGACGTATTTGTTAGGAGGGAACAGTCTCTGACAGAATCCAGACCTATAGCCAAAGGTGCAGGAGCTCCTAAAATCCTTTTGCTCCTGTTTTATTTTTGATGCGGTAAAATCTGAAATGGACAGAGGGTCCATCTTCCAATGCTTTAGCCATAGGTTCCTTCTAACCAACTGCATAGCCTCTTGGGATGTGTCTCCTGCAAATCTTTAAGATGGATCCCTTAAGTGTCATAGGGTCAGTGTCTTGCTCCAGAATGAGGTTAAAGGACCAAACCATGATGGCCCTGGCAAAATCTGAGACCATGGCAGGGGCTGCTTCATGGAATTCCCTAGGATCATCTCATTATCATCATCATCCACTGAGTCCTTAAATACACTGTCCACATCCTTAGGCAACTCTGCTCTGAACATAAGACTACTACCAGAGTGTCTAACTTGAGGTCTTCCATGCTGCCTGCTGAAAAGGCAAATACCTATTTTTCTATGCTGGCAAGAAAGTGTCGTGGCCTGGAACTGCCCATTCTGCCTTTAACACGTAATCAAAGAATTATGGGAATGAATTCAGGGTATGGACAAACTGAGGACCCTCTGAATGGTCTCTTATAACCTCTAAGATCTCAACTGGCTGAAGCCGATGATCTAGGTTTTTCTGTTGTGTCAAGTTTTAATCTCCAGAAATGTTCCAGCTGGAAAAGCCCAGAAGACTTTCCCTCGGAAAGGTCTAAGAGAATTTTCTGTCCATTCCTCTTCCTCTTGATCAGAGCTTGTTGCTACTGGCAACACTCAGCTCTACACCTCCCTATTCGAATACCCTAGCAATCTGATACAGAGGTCTTGAGCCACTGCTACACTGCTGTGGTTAAATGGATGAAAGTGAACAAACTGAAACTGAACCCAGACAAGACAGAAGTGATGCCGGTTGGGAAGGCAGTGTTCTTGAAAGATATTGCCTTGGGGTTATAGTGGACCCCACATTACTGCTAGAGGAGCAAGTTACTGAAGGCACCCACACAAAAGCAATTTGACTGGGGGGATTAGCTTGCCTTTATTCAGAGAAGTCTTGCATTCTATTTAGTTGTAATATGATTAATAAGATATTACAGTGAGGTTGGGCTTTTTAGTTGACACATTCGCTCACCTGATCTTTTCGCTCACCCTAGACATGTGAAGACCCCCATGGGGGGGGGGGTCCAAGAAAAAAATGGATTTCTATACAAGAACTCTGTTCCTTGGAACTTAGGGGAGCACTGAAAGGAACTCTCATAAATATTTTCTTTTTGAAATCAGTGAAACACCTTTAAGATAGTTTTACTCTCCCATTTTTCTTGATAATCTTGTAGCTCTATTTATTATTTCTGATTTCTGGTACAAGCTTTTATAAAAGTTCTCTACTATTTCTTTAAGGTCTCTTTGTGAGGATTTCCCCTCCCCTCTCTCATTTTTTAGTGTTTTAATTATTCTTTTCTCTTTTTTCAGCTTGTATGCTAGCCATCTCGTGGGCTTATTAGCATTTTCAAAATAATACAATTTAGCCATTTCTATTTTTTTTTTGCTACCTCTTGTGTCATGAGTAGATTAAGTTGGTGTTGCAACTTATTTAATTTAGGTATTATTATTTTTTATTTTATTCTCTTCTTCTTGTATTTTCCCTCTTAAGGTATCTATATATCTAAGTTGCCCCCTCCGTGCGGATACTTAAATCAGCACGGAGGGGGCAGCTGGGGGGCCGGGGGAGGTTTGTGCACACGTGGGCCAGTCCCCACGTGTGCACAAAAATACAAAAAGTTTTTAAAAATTTCGGGGGGATGTTTAAATCCCCCCGAAAGTGCAAGAGCGTCTCCTGCGCATGCGCAGGAGACGCTCTGCAACGCCGCCGCCGCCTCGGAGCCAGCCGGCGGGCTGGCAGGCGACGGGGGGGAGGAAGCCGGGCCTCGCCGCTGCCGCCGCCTCCCCGGAGCCGGCTGGCGGGGAAACCGGGGAGGCTGGGCGGACGGGCGGGCAGGGAGGGAGGGAGGGAGGGGGGAAGCCGGGCCTCGCCGCCGCCACAGCCG